GGAAAATTAAACTGAAAACTGTGAAAGGACGGAACTATTAGTAACCAATAAATTACCACAGGGCGACTTTGTAGAGTTATTTGAATGCTTTGTTTTGTTCAATGTATATTTTTTTTTGTTTTTTTTTTCTCAATTTTAATTTAGAAAAGTTCTCCCCAAAAATTGGTAATTCCTGGTAAAATGTACATGGTCTAACTGAAATGAATGAATGGTTTATTTTCTCTTCACAAAAGATAGTATAAAGTGACAACTTGAGGTACAATTTGATATGAAGACCAATTTTGTGAGAGACTGGTGCTTACGGTAGGTTTAACTGAAATGATTTTATTTTTCATCTATAATCCTTCACAAATCAATAGTGAAGGTGCGGTCACTATATCTTTTTTGATTGATGAAAATTCATTAGAATTCCCGCTATCCAATTACGTAATAAACAAAATTGTTAACATAATTTGGTAATATGGGTAAATACTTCATGTTATTCTTTATTCTTTATTGTACACAAAACATACTGGTAATTACAATTCATTATAAACATAATGTACAAAGGCGAGCTTATCTCTAATAAGAGATTTCTTCCAGCAAAACCTTTCCATGTTAATGTGTTATTTTATAAATAAAAATAGGCAGTCATACGATCTGCATATATTGCATAAACGCATAAGTTATGTATACACAAAGAATAATACAAACTACACATTATAAATTACATAAAATACCCTGTAAACATACACATATATTTACACAAACATACATATACACATACATATATATACACATATATATAAACATATATAAATATACATACACATATACATAATACGTCAGCATAGTGATAAGTAATGCTCTCTTAGACGACGCTTAAACATGCCTATACTTGCCGATTCCCTTATTTCGGATGGCAGACTATTCCATAGTCGAATGGATATAACTGTAAAGGAATTCCCAAAAGCCTGAGTATGATGTGGTGGAGTTCTTAGAAGTAATCGTGTCTGAGGGCGAAGTGGTTTATCTCTTGAATATAAATATTCATAACGCTCGCGGAGATAACAAGGAATGGAGGGATTATGCAAGATATTGTAAAGAAGCGTCAGTATATGGACATTCAATCGAAAACGTGAAGGTAACCATTTCAATTCTTTTCGATATTTGGAGACATGATCAAACTTACGCAAACCATAAACGAAACGAATGCATAAATTTTGTAGACGGTCAATTTTAGAAAATAACTCTGAAGTGGCGTCAAGAAAACATACATCTGCATAATCCATAAGGGGAAATAATAATGTTTGGGCTAAATTGACCTTTGTTTTAATAGGTAGAAAATTTTGTAGACGTCTGAGTGAGTGAACAGTCGCATGTACTTTTTTACTTATCTGGTTTACGTGAGACGTCCAGGAAAGATTTCTGTCAAAAAGTACGCCCAGATTTTTAACGATATTTGTATATGATATTATTGTCCCCTCATACACCACAGGTGGAACAGTCATACGATCTAATAAATCTGTCATGTATCTGCTTCCGATAATAATAACTTGTGATTTTGTTGGATTCACTAATAGACCATATGCATTTGCCCATCTTGAAATGTTTACCAGATCATGATTAATCAAGTCTATAGCAGTACCGATATCACAAATGTCAAAAAAACTGTACAGCTGCAAGTCATCTGCGTATAGATGGAAGTAGGATGAAAAACGTCCTGCCAAGGAATTAATGAAAATAGAAAATAGAAGTGGTGACAGGACGCCACCCTGTGGAACGCCGGCAACAAGACCACACCAGTCGGAGCTGGTTTCATCCGACCGAACACACTGCATACGCCCCACAAGATAAGAATTAAACCATGCTATTACCAGTGGAGATATATTAAGTGAGTCAAGGATACCGAGAAGGATATCAAAATCTATTGAATTAAAGGCACTACTAAAGTCGAGTAAAGTGAGAATACATAGCTGTTTCCTATCCTTAGCAAGACGAATATCCTCAGTAACTTTTAGTAGTGCAGTGACAGTACTGTGAGCTGTACGAAACCCAGACTGAAAAGGAGTAAGGAGTTTATTTTTAAAAAGGTAAGATGACAATTGATCATAAACTAGATTTTCAAGTACTTTAGATAGAACAGGTAAGATAGAAATAGGACGATACTCGGAAAGGTACGTGGGATTGTTGGTTTTGGGAAGCGGAATAACGTAGGCTTTTTTCCAGGCAGCAGGAAACGAACCTGTTTCCAGAGAATAATTTAAGATGTGAGAAAGAATCGGTGCAAGCTCATCTAAGAGAAGACGAAGCATCTGAATACAGATTTTGTCATCACCAACTGCTTTGGAAGTAATTGACAAGATTGATTTTTTAATATCACACGTAGTAATAGCTAGGAAAGAAAATGGTTTACAATTGGGTTTAGGCAAGTTTTTGAGTTCTCCAAGAGTAGTCTTTTTAATATGGTCCTCCATAATTACCGGAGGCGTCGAAAAATGACTATTCAATGCGTTGCTATCTAAATTAACTGGACACGAGTTTAAACATTTACCAATCCCTTGTGTTCTTAGGAGTTTCCAGAGTTGAGCTGGCTTAAGACTTTCAGCTGATTCATGAAAGTAGCGTCTCTTAGCATCTCTGCACATTCGATTACTTCGGTTTCGCAACCTCTTATATTTATTTAAATTTTCGATGGAGTGATTCTTTTTATACCTACGTTTAGCCTGATCACGTTTTGCCATTATATTGCGTATGTTTTGTGACAACCACGGGGCCGGTAGATGCTTCACTCTAACTTTTCGGATAGGAGCATGTTTATCGAACAGATTATTTAACGTTTGATTAAGATATGTGACTTTTTCATCAATAGTATTTAAATCATAAAGTATGAACCAATCAATCCTGCCAAAATCACTCCGTAATTTCTCCGAATCAATTTCCCTAAAATTTCGAAGCTCAAGAAATTTTACTCTCGGCTTAGGCATACGAATTTTTATCAGGATCTGATACAATCATGAGGTCGAGAAGTGTAGGCGCACTGTTTGGAGGCGAGTGTGTAGGTTGAAGTGGAAGGAGATGAAGATTAAGAGAGGAAGCAATAGAGCACAATCTTAAAGAACGTGAGTCATTTTTGAGTAAGCAGGTGTTAAAATCACCAAGAATAATAGTTTCATTGTATATGGGACAAAGTGATTCCAGAAGAGCCTCAAAAGACTGGAAGTAGTCCACACGAAGAGATGGACTATAATATACGCCAAGTAAGATTTTCGAATGATGGATACACAATTCCTGAAAAAGATACTCCGCTGAAGCACTATATACTGAGTCAGATTGACTAATTATTCTGTAAGGGATATTAGCACGCAAAAATATCGCAACACCACCCCCACCAGCGCCAACACGATCATTGCGTAAAAGATGATAACCTGGCAGAGAACACAAAGTTGATGAAAAAGACGGTTTAAGCCAAGATTCCGATACAAGAATTGCGTCAACCTGCTGGTCTGAAAAAGTGGAATATAAATCTGAATAATGAGCTAATACACTCTGCGCATTAATGTGAGCAATCTTTAAGAACTTTTTATGGGAGGCAAAGGCAGACTGTAGTTTATCTTTAAGTAACATATCAGGATCAGCATCATCATCACTCACTGCACTATGAAATTCATCGGAAGAACTGCCGAAAAAACTATCACTAAAGTTTAAGGACGTATTCATACTAAAATAAAATAAATTATAATAAGATAAATATTATATATATAAATATAAATTATTGGTAACAAAATATATTATAAGGACTACACTGACTCAATAATTCAAATTCACAAAGTCACAGACCCAGCTCTGCAACACTATTGGGTAGAACTGGAAAAAACCTCAAAAAAAAAAAGAAATACAATTACAAATGTCTATCCTCTGGAATAGACGATACATGTTATAACTATTAATATTTACATAAGAAAGTGTGTGTGTGTGTGTGTGTGTGTGTGTGTGTGTGTGTGTGTGTGTGTGTGTGTGTGTGTGTGTGTGTGTGTGTGTGTGTGTGTGTGTGTGTGTGTGTCGTAATGGATTTATCAGAAATAGAATCATGTGGATGATATGTAAGAAGTAAATAATTGACAGAAAGCGAGAAACAAAAATAACTAAGTAAAAAAAAATAGCTGTGCACGCATTCTAAATCTATGAATAAAAATGACTGATTTTATTTGGATGATTGACAACAGTATATGAATAACAATAATAAACACAATCCAAGCATAAGTTACTACGAATAAAACTGTGCAACCATTCATACTAACAGAATATCATAATCGAAAATTTTATATTATGCAAGTTACTTACATATATCTTTTTAATATCTAGTAATATTTTAATTTCAGACAGAGGTAATAAACATAACACACACACACACACACACACGCACACTCACACGCACACACATACTGCACATACACATACTGCACATACACATGCTGCACATACACATACTGCACATATACATACATACATACATACACATGCATATATACACACACACGCACACACATTAACATATAAAGTTTTTAATACTATCTAAGTATTCATTTGATCGTTGATGTTAGCAGATGGTTGCACAGATAGATCACTTAGTCTTACTTAAAAGAGAGTTAACTCTTAAACAATACATCAGTTGCTTGCTAAGTGACAGTGTTACACTGAATTGACATATGTATTTTTTTTTTTTCTTTTTTTGTGGCGTTCACCCCAATATTAGGGTATTTTGCCGACATATGTATTTGATTAACTATAGAGATATTTTAAAAGTTTAAAATTAACAACTGTAAAATAACCTAAATGCAAACTAGGAGACAAAATATAACTTCACACTTCAAAACAAAATGTAACTACCCCTTATACATTCTCTTTTTATTTCTAAGAAAACAAGTTTATTTATTATTTTATTCTCCACCCACCCTCACCAATCCAGAATTTAATGAAGGTAAATAAAAAAAAAAAAAAAAATACTGCTCATAACTGCACACAAGGCAGGAACACTACTATAGTATAAAATTCCACAAAAACGGTATCTTACATATCCCTACGTGCAACTTGACGTCTGGTGAAGGCCAAAGCTCCCCTAGCCGACTTCATCGGGGCCGCCGCGGCTTTCGTGTTTATTTCTTTTGTTGGATACTGTGTACTTAACAGACGAAACTCACTCATTTGTTCGATCTTGCGACGCGTCTTATTAGATAATAATATTACGATTTTGCCATCAGAAGTCCAACAGTTCTTAATTCCAAAATGTGCTCTGGCTGCCTTAAATGTGTCATACCTTGATTTTGTCAAGAATTCAGACATCGTGACCTGCGTCCCCTTTAAAAGAGTCTTACTTTTCCAAACTTGACTACGGATAGCATAACTCATAAAACGCACCAATATAGGCCTTGCTTTAGTTTGCCCAAAACCAAGCCGATGAACAACAGATATATTAGTGATACAATCTGACGTCATTTTTAATTGTTCCGTGAAGACTTTTGTAACCAAAGTTTTAGCATCTTCATCTGTATTTTCGGGAATACCATGCAATAATAAGACCTTTCTTCTAGAGGACATTTCATGACGGTCCAGACTTATCAGCATAAGCTCCATTTGGTTTTTCAACATTGCAACTGATTTCCAAATAAGCTGCTTAAAATCATAGAACTCACGTGTCAAGGTTTCGAGATTTGGCTGCGAGGGTTTGGATGTTTGCTGCTCCTGAATATTTCGCTCCATTTGCTCCATCCGCGAGTTAAATAAGTCAACAATGGCCTCCATGTTAGAACTCAATTTTGCATACAGATCCATATTAATAGTATCAAGCTTTCTTCTTTTCTTTTCTTTTTGAAAGTGAGAGTATTTAGGGAATTAATAATCCAAAGTGTTACAGAGCTAGTAAATTACACAATTCCTTGTTTAAAACATAGAATAGATAAAATTAAACTATATAAATAATTAAAATATTACGGACCTAGTTAACTTTTTCAAAATTAATTTTCGAAAATAAATTTAAATGATTGGAATTTTATCGGAGGTATTTAAAATAAATTTTGTTCGTTTTATTTAGGGGAGTTCGTTGTTTATTATTTGTTGAAAATACATTTCAATTTCTATAGCTAATCACGAATATGGGTAGCTAAATATATTTTTAACAAACTGACTGGACAGATGTCGTTCTAAAGTTAAAATTTTATATTGGTAAAAAAAACAAATCAGGGGTTTTTATATTTTTCCAAGATATGTTTTCAATTTTTTCTCTTTATAAGAATATTCCTCAAACTTCAAATGAATCATCATCATCATCATATCAGCTATTAACTGTCCACTGCTAAACATAGGCCTCCGCCATAAACTACCATAAAAACAGTGTTAAGCCCCCTGCATCCTATTATGTTTTGAAATATTTATTCGAAAAATTATTAAATGAGATTTGTTAAATTAAGAAAATTGTTTCAACATTTGTATTTAGCAACAAACATAACGATTCACTTTTTAGATAGATAACTAGCTTTTAACCGCGACTTCGTATGCGTGATTGGGAAAAGAAGCCTTCCTTTTTTTACAACAGGGGGGCAAACGAGCATGCGGCTCATCTGATGGTAAGTGACTACCGCCGCCCATGATCACCCACAACACTAACGGCATTGCAGGTATGCTGCGGCCTTTTAAAAAGGAATATGCTCTTTTCTGTCTTCCCGCTTCCATATGGTATGTGTATACCAAATTTGATAGTGACTGGTTAAGCCGTTAAGGCGCTATAAAGTAAAAACAAACAAACTCACGTTCACATTTATAATATTAGTAACGATTGTGTATAGTCTATACATATATACTAGTAGTTTCCTTCTGTTTTACTCATGCGAATTTCTTATCTACTGTTCCTATGGGACTTTCCAGAAAGCTATTCTTAATATTGCCACCATGGTTATAAATCTCCTGCCTCCCTGCCCACTCATGTGTGTGCCAAGCATCTGTGCTTGTATAGTTATATTTCGGCATTGTTGTGTATGTACTCATAGCTATACGTATACGTGTGTGGCTACGTAAACCACGACCTTGAGACTTGTCATTTAATAAAACAGTGCAATACGAACCCGTGTACGATTCACTTGTCCGCAAACTTATCATGTATGAAGAATGTATGTATGAAGTATGAAAGCAGTGAAATTACTGGAAATATGCGTTTTATACTTTCATGTGCACAATATATAATGCAATCGAACGCTTTTATACTTCACTGTGGATATCCAAGTTATCGTGAAATGAAATTCCTTTGTAGTCTAATTTAAGAAATTGGCTTCGAAATTTTTTTATTATTCCAAGCTTTTATTTAAGCTGCCTGCATATTAGTTAGTCAAATCATACAAACTAAATTTGAATTAAATTATAATAAATGATTAAGACATAATTTGTGGCCTTAAAAACCTTATAAGTTTGTTTTAAAAAAAATCCAGTGTCCAAGTATTCTGTATCCAAGTGACTAGTGTCCGAATGTCTGAGTGTACGATGTCCGAGTGTCTGATATTCCAGTGACATTCCAATTTCGAAATCTAAATGTTAAAAAATCGGTTCCGAGTTTGCTCATAAAAAATATGCGCATTTAATTTTCTCATAAAATTTTTGAAGAATTTCTATAGGTGAGTAGGAAGTAATGTGGACAGGTACCCAGGAACATGGGGTTATTCACACATATTTAATATTCTTATACGTATACACTACAGTCGCACAGTTGCCGCCACGATCTTACAGGTGTTCTACGATATCGTCGTGAAACGTGCACGTCCAAAATTATAATCTGAAGAGCAGCGCAGACAAACACACGCATACACACATAAATACACATACACATAATACACCCTCAAAATTGCCGCGATGATCTTTGAGAGCCTAGGTCTGCTACGGAAATACAGTTATGGAAGTTGTTATCGTACGGAATGCTTAAAAGCGTCTTCGTACTAATGCATACATTTTGCTCTCCCATTGTATCGTGACGGTAAAATCGTACGATATCGTGAAGTTTCACGGAAAAATATAAAAACGCCCAAATGTATAGATTTTTATCTCCTATTGTATCATGGGAGTAAAATCGTACGACATCGTGAAGTTCTATGGAAAGTATAAAACGCCCAATGGGTACAGAGCCTTTTAGTACTCAGAAATATAACGCAAAAGGAGTATCATGGGCATTACTACTGTTACATTTCGTAATGTCTATAGCGTATAGTCGATTTTAATAACATTTTCGATTCGGTTAGCCCTTAAAATTTTACTAAATTCCTGCTCCGAAGGCCAAGTACTTTTTGAATTTTCGAATGTACTTAATGAATAAACAGTATTTCTCTTCTAATTTACACAATACTCTATTTAAAACTATATAAATGTACAAATTATATTTCAATGTATTGAAATGCAGTGGACAAATACAATCTCAAGTGAGTATTTGGAGTCAAAGTCGCCGCAACAGGTTGGTAGCATTGTCAAACACGCGGGGACATGTGGGCAAACATGAATGGTTGCATTCGAAATTCAATATTTGTAATAGTACAGTCGAAGGAAAAAGCGTTAAGCTTCCTTTTTGAATACTACAGAAAAGTTGCCTTCGAAATTTAATATTTTAAATACCTTACATATAAAAGGAAAAATGCTTTCTTTTTTTAAATACTTTATAAAAAAAAATATTAGAAAGAGTAAAATGGGTCAAATGCGAGATATTGTTTTGAACGTTACAAAACGTACGATGGTAGATGAAAAATGTGTATTTACTTTGTTAATACAAATTAATTATAAAACGACAATTATTGAAGCAAAATTTAATCCTACTAATAATATAAATTAAATGTTTGAATTCGAAATGCATTTGAAGTTCGAAAAACCTCATAAGTAGAGATAGATTATATAAAAATAAAAACAGTAACAGATTTTATAAAAAAAAAAAAAAACAAATGACAACTCACAAGTAAAGGTAAAGAAACTCAACACTTGATAAATTATTATAAGTAAATAAAAACATAAACTGTAAACTCTTGGAAAACAAAAATATAATACACATTTATTATTTACTTTAAAATTATAATATTAACAAGATTTGAAATGTCAATTGAACGTGACAATACAACTGATAGTATCTTACCGAACAAGACAATATGACAGGTGCGTGCGGATTGTTTTTGAGCACGTCTCGAGGTCAACGCACTTGATTGTGTTAACCGATCGATAATAGATCTTATATCGAAGAGATAAACATTAATTGCGATGAACAGAAATCGATTACTGCATTTAAAGTTTCTTAATTAAACTCTTTCTGTTTTAAGGAGCAAAAAGTATTTATCTCAAGTGAGCACCGATAAACAGCTGCTCACGCTGTGCTGCTCGCGACGCAGCCGTGAATCGCGCTCATAAATAAGGGCTCCTGTTGAGATCGAACCATAACGGGCAATCTCGAAGTTAAATACATGAATAAACGTGATATTAATTATTGACACCTACTAAAACTAGTTTATACCCACCCGCGTCTTCGTGTGACCGCGATATATCGATTGGCCGGGATAAATAGTATCCTATGTCCTTCATCCCAAATAGATTTTTTTTTATACGACTCAGAATGGCAAACAAGCCGACGGTCCACTTGATGGAAAGTGGTAACCGTCGCTTCTAAACATGAGCAGTACCATGGACATAACACAGTATACTGATTCGCCCATGATACCCCCCGTATGATGCGTTGCCATTCCTGAGGACTCAGGTGTTATTCCTCTGTATCCAGTAAATTCACGTCATAGCCCACCCTTCAAACCGAAACACAGCCATGCAAACACAACTGCTTCATGGTTGAAATAGTACCATACCATACAAAATCAGCCGGTAACTGTCCATTACTGAGAGCATAGATTGCTGTAAGGAACGGTCCTGAACCACCTGCATCCACTAACCCCCTACAATGCCTTTGAGTTCGTCGCTCCATATTCGACATTCTACACTACATTTGCCTGTAAGGGGTCGCAACTCAAAAATCCTTCCTCTTTATCAGTTGACGGTTCTTCGAGTTATATGAACATATTGAAATGTAATATAGAAGTTATGGATTCAAACCTTGTCCATTTCAAAATTCTTGTAGTACATCAAAATATAATGTTTTTTTTTCATATTTTAATAATATCTCCATTCATTTCTTCCTTTAAGCGCATAGCACTGAAGGATAATAGAAGTTCATGTACGTAGCAAAAAATTACATGCCTTCAATATCGCACCCGCCTTCCGCGAGATATGAACTAAGAAACACGTTCTGTTGCTGGATTACATTTTGATTGAAGTTGCGTTTTGGGGGGAAGGGATTGTTAGTAATGGGGTGATTAGTCCCCGTTGCTATTAATGTACCTTATCAAGTCGATCTCCACGCGGTTCACCCTGGAAACTATCGTGACTAATTTATCGTTGAATTCGTCATGATAGGCTAATTGACCTGTCTTTTCATCCTCACCTATCACCTCTCACTGGTACCCCGCCAATGTATACCGATAGCACCCATTACAAAAAAAAACCTTGCGTTTTCAAATGAACAAGAGTTTTGTATTAATATCTGATATTTCTTAGCTCGTGTTTAAAAGAACAGTATTACCAGAGGGAGAGCTTCCACAAATGTGTTATGTGTGAGATTTTTTTTAAAGGATGATAATTTAATAAAACTTTATTTCTATTGCAAAAAAATACTGCTTGTATTATGACTATGTTTCGATTTGAAAAGTAGGATATGGCAGTGAAATTACATGATGCGGATGCATACTTTAAACCCTCAGAAACGGAAACGTATGAGAGCTAACGTTATACATATATTAATTTTAAAATGGCAATTCAGTGGTAGTTCCTATATATATTGTGGTTATGGAGACAGATACTGTTTATTGTTTCTTCAAAAAAAAA